AACCAAGTGGAATCAATTGTTAAACAAATTTATCATGAGTTCTGAAATTTCAATTTGTTACTGCACGATATAATAGCATTAAAGAGCCGCAAAGGCGAACGATTGTCGCTAAAATTCAGAAATTGTTGCTTAGATTGTTCAAATTACCATGAGACATCAAGCTACATAGAACTATGATCGACACACATGAATGATGATATTGTTTTGAAAACAGTCTAAAAAATTGGAGGTAGAATGAATAAGAGATAATGTGGTCATGTAAACAAGTGCATTATGTCCATGTTAATCCCCTAGTTCCAAAATCATGATTGTATTCTCTATTTATTTCTCCTATATAATTTATTTCAATTTAAAGTAGAAATTCTAATGTTTCTTCTTTTGGCTTGATTATTTCAGCAACGAATTGACAGTTTTGGTTGACATCTTGGATGTATCATAGCAATAAAATTCTTGGCACATGACGTATTGTGTGTACGATAATTATGATCAGAAGAAAAAGCATACAAATAACTATATGAATAATAACAATAACACACACTTACTATAATAATGATTATAATTACGATATTTACTATAATTATAAATATATAATGATACTGCTGCTATTACTACTCCAACTACTACAACTAGGAAGTAGAAGTAGAAGATGAAGAAGAACGGGGAGGAGGAGAATCGTTTCAGCGAAATTAATGGTTATATTCTCTATATATGATTGAGGCATACACTCAAATTTAAATCATAATCAAACAGGCATCTGAAGTTTTTAGATGCTGACTATTTGCTTCATGTTGTTGAGAATCGCCCCCGGCTGGATCGCACCCTGCTTCCCTGAATCAACGAACAAACTTTGAGAAAAGATTTTTGTCTTGACAAAATCAATAGGTGATACGTAGACTTCGTACGTATCACCTAATGGCACACTTAACACTGTAGCATGACAAATCCATTCAGATCTGTGATGAGAATTTCTCATCTCCCAATCCAGATTGTTTCGCCCTTGATGTCTTCCTTTTAGACCCACTGCACGCTAAATGATCCGATTGCAATGATATTTTTTCAAGCATGCAGTAGCATGTTAATATGAATATTGAAACATGTAAAATCTTAATGGTCAAGGCTCTGACTTGCCTTACTGACTTAGGTGCATAGGACGGTGTGTCCCCTTGCTCCCATACGAGAGATCATGCTCCAGTCTGATCTGTCCTGGGCTCGTTGCTCTGCCTCTTGTGTGGGTAATCCAAAGGTTCTGAAACAGTCATAATTATGAAGAATGAAATATGGATTTCAAAGAATTGTAAGCCTCTTTGTGAGAGGAATAGTATACATCGATTTGGAATCAATGTGATGCCATAGTAGCTGTACCATTGTCTGCAATTGGGGCCAATTCAGCATTCAGTATTTATACCATTACTCTGAACCCCAGTCAATATCTAAGGCAATTAGGATTTATTCAAAAATCAAATTAAAGTTGGATTATAGAATATGTGGTGGTTGTTCCTCATCAATGTTCATATAAAGGTACTTGAAATGTAGTATAAGGAATACGCAATCCTCATTGAGGACAAGTTTTTAAATGCAGGTCTGTACATGGGGAAATCCACCCTGATATCGAGTTCATCTTTAATAGAAGCAGTACAATGAGAGACACAGATTCAAAGAAGATCGTATTGTTCAGTAGTGAAAACTGAAAAGGAAAATACTGTGAAATAATAGTCTGTGTGTGTTCCTTTTACAAGTGACCTTTCACCAAACCTCTTTTGGCTCAATGTTGCTTTAAAGTTAGTATTCTATATTCAAAACACCAGTTTTAATATAACTTCTATTAAAATAATATTGCAAGTATCAGTACCGAAATTTCCCCGGTAGCATTGTTTACTTTGACTTGTTGATGTAGTCACCTGAAGTTGTTTCTGCATAGAACATAAATTCCTCAGTCACACCCATAAACTTGACTCCAAACCCACTGATTCGTAGGCGCTTGCCTTGACCTACATTTTTTGTCCGGTCTTTTGTCAATGTGATGTCTGTCTCGTCTGTTAGGCGTTATTATTTGTTCTATTCTTGATATGTTCTTTAATTGTTTCCTATTAGAATTACACATTTATTTTAATTAATATTAATTTTTACGTCTTCTCAAAATAACATTATTGCAACTACTTTCTAAAAAATAAACTTACATGGATTCCACTAGCCTTGTCCCTCATCTTTAGAAATGCGGGAATGTTTTAATGAGGTATTATGTAATCTGAATATGATTTCTATAGAATATACAATACGGAAATGAAATTGTCCTTGAGAAAAATTTTCATAAGTAGTTGCGATCGTGTTCATAGCTATTTTGTTAATGATTGGTACCTGAATAACTTAATTGTCATGTATATTTGACACAATGAACTTCTAATTATAGGATCAACGACAATGCATTGTATGCAACATTCTTATACTCTTTCATGTTTTGTCAGTTGCTAAAACGAAAATGAAACCGGAACATAGTCCTCCAAAAAGGAAACTGCCAGTCCTTAGGAAACTATCAGGATACTGGAGACGAAACCAAAATCAGAAATAACCCTGGGTATGCTAAACCACAAAATATATTTTAAAATAGCACGGTAAATATTTGTAAGTGAGTTGTGCAAATCACATTGTGTTATTTGTGTCCTTGAGCTTCTTTGTTGGTTTTATGTAAGAGAAGGTTTTAAGAAAGGCAAGTAAATGGATTCCATCACGGTTGGCTTTGGAAATGGAGAGTGCATATTAGCGGAAGATGGGCTGGCTGGCTGGCAAGAAATGGCCCATTTTGATGATTGCTTTCTCCGTTTGTTCAGCAGGGGGATGATGATGATGCAAACGAGTCTGGTAGTGCACTTTGCATGGGCCATTTGCAGAAATGAGATGAAGTGAAAATCACCAAGTTGAGAGGATTTTTAGACACCATGCAGGACACTGGAAGTGCCAGTGTGTGACAAATAAGGAAACAAAGAAAGAAAGAAAGAAAGAATGAAAGACACAAAAATAGAAAGATATGAACACAGAGTTTAAGATTAAAAATTGAGGTATGAAAATCAATTCTTTTGGCATTTTGATGGCCATTGCAGATCTCTCAAAAGAGCTATCATGATGTTCAAGACAATATCGACATCTTTGAAATTCTATCTTATCAGGATGAATGAATATTGAATAATTAAAAATGATGTCTAAAGTGAGAGAGGGAGAATAAGAAAGAGAGCATACTTGAGAGGAGATAGAAATAAGAGACACCTCTCGAGGAAAGGAAAGAAAAATGAAAATATAAAGAAATAAATCAAGGAAAGTGTGATGTATTTCCACCGTAGGAAAGTGCCTTGCTTGATTCATGTACTATCTAGAAAGAGACATCTGTGTAATTATGTCATGCATAGATACTGTATAATTATCCCTGTGTCCACACACAACATTTTCTGTGATTAGGCGTGATAAGTTATACCGTTTCTGGATAGTTATATGATGAAATTGTGTGTGTGGACGCTTACTAACGATACGTTGTATAACAAAACGCGGGTTTGGGCAGCTTTTCGAAATAGAACTCAATAACTAATCACGCCTAATCACGGAATGTGTTGTGTGTGGACGTAACAAGTATAACCAGTCGAACTAGAGCGGTATAACTGGGCGTGGCTTAACGTGACCTCGTGCGAAAGGAGACCTGACCTCTCATTTTCGCTTCCATTCCATGACCGCAGTAGCAAACTGCGCACCTATACAACTTTCGCTGTAGAGTTTTGTGATTACTTTCTTGTGTGTGTGGACACCCTGGAATTTATACGATGATTCTTTATACAACGTTTCGTTATAGAGTTTTGGGATAAAAAAATTTGTGTGTGGACACGCTGTATGTTATGCATAGATACTGTGTGTTATGATAGCTCTTTCTCATTTTGCTGCTTTAAAAACTTGATTAAAGATTTCTTTGTCCTTGCATATAAAAATATTTCCTTTTCATGAACGTATTTGTTTCCAGGTTCTATATCCTGTCCATTTCTCACTACATAATTATGCAGCTATCATGACGTTCAAATCGATATCTTTGAAATTCTATCTCATCATTTCCGTTAAAGGAAATGAACTTGTTGAAGAAGTAGGAGGATAATTACTGTATCATTATTATGTTAAGTAGAATTAAGGTACTGTTAGCATGTAATACATGGCACAAAATATATGTAGAAATAAAAACTACATTAGTAATTGTCATGGATCACGCCTCTTTTGAGAGACCTGCACTGGCCACCAGAACGCCAAAAGATGTGATTCAAGATTCTGTTGATTGTCTATAAAGCGCTAATTGGTCTCACAAACATACTCACAACTCGTGCAGCTCCCAAGATACTCTATTATGTGGAAAACCTACTGTTAAAAATGTCAATGTCATCGTCATTAAGTGCTTTTAAATCAAAACTTAAAGCAGATCTTTTCATTTTACTTGATGTTGTAGATTTTAAGTACACCAGGAGCTCTTACAGTGCAGTAGAATATATTTGCTTAGTGTATATGCATTATAAATGTATTTCATTATTATTTTTATCAAGCTTTTGAAACCTCTTTCTATCACAATATGGTTTCAATCAGAAGCCCTGTTCACACAGGGTAAACTGTGTTGTGTGTGAACAAGCCTTCATGAAATTTATCTTTGCCTTTGATGATGATACATGTAGTTCATGATTATATGGATGATATAAGCACCGGAAACTTCATCTCACTGCCTAGAAATACAACCCTACATCAAAGAGTATGAACAAATAAACCTGATATTTCGCTTCCTTAAAGGGAAATCAAACCTTTATAATAATTAGTTCATTTGGATCAAAAATAGTGGGTGTCCATGTACACCAGGCCCCTGTAACAAATGTTGATATTTTGGGGCCAGTATGGACCAAACCCTTAAAAACTTCAAGCCTTGATGATGAGCAAGCTGTTACGATTTTGTTCTTGATTATCTGTTATGTTCTTGTTTTTCTTTTTCTTAGGTAAACTGTTCAAGTCGAGCGATCTTAACTTGGTGGTTGAGTTCTTCTTGATGTTTCACATGGAGAAACCCATTGACTGGCTTTTAGATCACATCCTCTATGTAAAAGTCTGCAACCCGGAAAAAGATCCTGTAAGTACGACTCCATAAACGTTTATTCCAACCCTTGTAATATGTTCATTTGTATGAAAGCAAAAAGAAAGTTTTTTATAAATCAAACCAATAATAAGAAATAGGAGATCACTAATTAAGTGCAATTTCAAATTTGCAATTTGGTCTGTGGATTGTGACAAATTCATGGACACAAAGTCACAAATTGACTGAAGCGGCAATGTCAATGGGATGTAGTGCTGGAGTACTTTCCCATCTATTCCAACATATAAAATGACTAAAAAAAATTTTTTTTTTAAATTCATTGCTCAGGAGGGTCTATTCGTTATAGAGGACCTATATTAATATGCTATCTATAATATATTTTGAGTAGTGCACCAAGGGAGAAGGAACTTATGGGTAAAACAGAAATTAATGATATTTTTGTACACAGCAAATGGGAGAGTTATCCGTGTCCTACGTCACAAACCACTGACCGAACTACCAATTTGAGATTCGCATAGACTTAGTGATCTCATATTTCAAACATTCATAACTTTCTTACCATTGGTCCGATTCATTTCAAACTTTTGCCATTCTGTTTCTTTTATTTATTTGCTTCAATACAAATCAACTTATTGCAAGGGTTGGATTGCCGTTTAATTAACCTAAAAGTAAATCTTGCTCTGACTAAAAAAATAATTCAGGCAGAAAAATATCAAACTTAGAGAAACGACTCCTCATAAGATTGAGTGTGGAGATGACCGTATGACATCCGATAGTGTTATCATGGTCGACCCCTGTCATCTCGCTTTATAGCCCTAAGCCTTATCCATCCACTAAACGGGTCATGGCAGTGAAACTTCTCACCAATAGATGACACTGCACATCCATCATATAGAGACCCAGATTTCTTCGTTTGTTTCCCCTGTGGCAAGGGGAGGTGTTCAGGGGTAGAGCTTATCGCTTTAAAGAGACAGCAGATCAAGAGATGAAAGTCAAAGCTGGATAAGAAAGCTCGCTTGATGGGATTGAAGAAGAAAAGGACGGAAGGAGTCTCTCATTTAAGTAGCTTTAATGAGAGATTCCTGATAAATATTAACAGAAAGATTTATTAGTTGGGAGGTGTAGGAAACTGGTAAACAGTCTTTATTAACTGCGAGCTGCTAGAAAAGAAAAGAGAAAAAACAGGTGCAATATCTCAAAGGAAACAAGAAAAGTGGTCTTTATATGCAGTTGGGGACATATCGTTTCACTGCATTTATACTTATTTGAAATCATTTTTTATGGGTAAAGTAAAGTTCTAAAGACTGTATTAAATGTTTGAGATCTATGGAGACGATGTATCAAGGTGCCTGGCTAGAATGCTCCCTAGTGAGTGGAGAATCTGCACACATTGTGTGCAGGCAAGTCACACAGAAATGGGTATATGGGACTAAAAATACATATGGCAGTCAAGTTGTGGTCCAAACTTTTCAAATATTTCATATCATATTTCGATTATGATGGCATTTGAAGAGCAATCCCTTTCATCAGACATTTTTGCTTTGATATTCTTCCTAACCGGCATAAAAGGATCAAGCTAATATTTTTCATTGATACCATAACTCAAACTTCTCTTTAAATGCCCTCCTACTCGCTGATGTATTTAATAGGAGCATTGCAGGTACTTACTGCCTAGATATTGCCCTCATCTATCAAGACCTTTTCCAATTTCTAAATCTGACATTTTAGCCCCGGGCTGCAGACTGTTTTCAGTTTTCTGATGTATCAATAGATGCAGGCGCTGGAGCTTGTATCAAGTGACATACAAATTACGTCGTGATGGCATCAATTTTTTTTTTTTAAACAAAAATGATTCTAGGCAGTATTACAATTGTTATTGCAAAGACTTTTCTGATTATATCTGGTGTATGTAACCTTGTTCTCAGCCTATCGATCATACTCAGATAAATAAGCTCTAAAAACAAGAACTTTCAAGGTGAACTTGTTGAGCAAAACATTGGGATAACCTTACATGAATCGAGCCACAAAAAACATCCTTATAATCAAGCCCAATAGGTAAATTCTAGTAAATGTGGTCTGCATTTATCCATATATTTCATTTCATTTTTTTTATTTTAATGACCATTGCGGAAAGAGAAATAACTATGAGTCAATGTCCATCTCAATAAAAAATTCATACTGAAACAGACATATCAACTGTTGATAGCCAGAAGGGCATTAACTCTTTGTTTAAAGGTAAAGACCAGTTTTGGAAACGCCCCAATTTCAAAAAATGAAATGGAAGCTCTCATTACCAATCATGTGAAAGAATATGTTTTGACTAATACATGATGATAAAAAATTTGCCGGGAAACCGCCTACTAATTCATATATTTAGTAAATTTGTTTCTCTCATGGTCTGTGAGAGATATAGGGTAGTCCCATATACATCTTTCTGTGTATAGTGCTTGTAACTTTACAAAGAATGGGCCAAATTTCTTATCATTTTGATGATTCCAGAACCTTGCAGATGCTAGATGCTAGATGATCAACCTTTTTTGATCGACTCCACAACGTTTCTTTCACAATGCAATCGCATGACCATAACTGGTCTTTACCTTTAAGTATACATTCATGAGATAACACCCTTATGGCTCCAGACAATATGTTATATGGGACGCATTGCACAGAATTACTGACTTCTTGGAATGATGCCTTGAAATACAGGGCAATTCAGAGTAATTTTTGAAGGTGGATAGGGTTTATGGTCTGTTGCCATAGACTGTACAAATACTAAATGAGGTAGGAATGTCTTTGACCCGTTAACCTTCAGAGATGGACACTATGGAATACCTTCAAGACATCCCCTGGTGCGTGACTGCACTATATCTAAAAGGTGTCAAAGTGTCAGATTTTTTTTTTTTGCCGTCTCCCTCTTTGCTTAGAGCGACAGCCAAGATCTTATCTCCACCCTCTCTTCCCATTTTCTTCCTTTTCCTCCCCTTCTCTCTATCTTTCTTTACTTATCTGTTGCCCCTCATCCCCTCTCTTTTTTCCCATTCTCTCTCTCCTTCTCCCTCTTGCAATATTGCACCTATTTTATTTGATCAAACAGCAAGTGTCTTCTAATTGATTTTTCACACAGAATATATTAGATAAAGATTAAATTTTCCCACACTATTTTATTTGATCAAACAGCAAGTGTCTTCTAATTGATTTTTCACATAGAATATATTAGATAAAGATTAAATTTTCCCACACTGTAATTTTTCTAATTAAATTTACACTTTACACATGAAACCATAGCTCACCACTTCCAATTACCCCCCCCCCCCCCTCCCCCCCCCCTCACTGACTCCATAAACAAATTATACGATCTAGAATGTAAAGAGGTGCAATTTCAAAAATGACAAAGTGCTACCCTCCCGGGTCGTGCAACACATGCTCTCTAACTTCAATCCTGGACCAAACATTACGCCTAACCCAATCCGAACCAAAACCTTGACCCGAAGCTGTGACATCATGAAAATCTATTTTTAGAATTTCTCAATTTTTTTTCTTCATTTTCCAAAAGAGGATCAAAAATAATGTCCGAATGTCGAAAACCAATTGAATATGTTAAGTATAATATGCTGAGATATGACCATCTGAATAAATAGATGTCCTATAGGAACTCAATGTTATGAGCCAGAGCAATATAACACTGAGTTCCTATAGGACATCTATTTATTCAGATGGTCATATCTCAGCAAATACCTAACATATTCAATTGGTTTTCGACATTTGGACATTATTTTTGATGACGACACACTTCACCACTCTATATATTTGACCAAAAAAAGCTAGGAGCAATTGTCATCGTCAGAGAATCTGTCAAAGCACCTCCACTCCATCACATTTCCTCTGAAAGACATGATGAAGTTAATGAAATTAGAGTTGTTGCAAAGTAATTTCTAGGGGAGGACAATGATACCCTTGTATCAGCTTCTTCCAAAGAAATAAAAAGTAGAGCACAATTATAGGGAAATTTGACAGATGACAAACCACTACTTTTTTTTACTTCTTCAAGGACAAATCAGGCTGATGTAATTAGAGTCCTTGCTTGCAAAATAGTGCATAGTAAATGCGATTACAGTAGTATTACAATAATGCTGCTTCTGTATAATAACAAAGCATTCTTTTTGAAAGATGATAATTGTGTGCTAATTAGATTGTGATATTCCAATGTGTTCTTTACATTAAGTTCAGTTTTGCCAGCATGACTCACAGATGGATAATTTAGATGTGTTTCCTGGTTTTGTTAAGACAAAGGATTATATCAGTTTATTTTCATGACATAACTAAAAGGATTGTGTGTTATCACATTTAAAGGAAATCCTATCGCAGGATCCCTGACATTTTGATTGCATCCGCAAATTGATCAACGAATGTTACCTTTTCTCATGTATCCTTTTCTCTTTTTTATCGTCTGGATGTAGAAACATTGTGGACGACAAAAGGCCGGCTTTAGGATACGCTACAAACCTTCCCTCTTCCAGCATATAGGACTCCATTCATCACTCAAAGGAAAATTACAGAAATTAAAAGTAAGTCTACTTGCCAAAAAAGTTCCATATTTTCATGAAGGATGGCATAAAGGTGACTTAAATCACCTTTTGATTTCACATCAGTACTGTATTACAAGAGTATAAAGTACTGTTATAGTGCTATTTTTAATAGTAAAACCTACATTTCGTAATTTTTTAAAGAGAAAGAAGAGAGGAATAATTGTGATTTAAAGTGGAGTTCCATCATGATATTAAGTTGGTTTTCAGAAAAGCAGAAAAATGAGATAAACAAATCAAAGAAAGCTTGAGGAAATCTGATAAGAAGAAAAATAAATAAATAAGAGTTATAGATTTTTAACGTTCTAATCGATCAAGCACAAATTGGCAACGCTGTAACGTACCTTTCGAGACAACTTTCATGTTTGGTTTGTAATGAAAAAGAAAAGATCTGGCCCCATATCATAAAGAGTTACGATTGATCCTGATTGATTGTAATTCCTTCAATCAATCGCAAACATACAAACTCCTATCTCTTTAGTCCAGAGCTGCCGATCGATATCAAGTTGCTGATGATTTGAATCAGTGGCAACTGTTTATATGACAGCCCTGATCAAGAACTCATCATTAACGGTGAAAATTGAATACATATCTATAACCTATTTGACCTTTGACCTTTGACCTTTGACCTGTTCTTTCACAGGATAGAGATTTTAAGAAAGGTATGAAGTTACCGCAGCATACGAACCCGCCAGCTGAGGTGTCTTCTACCATTAGACATTACCTCCGATACACGCTGGACAAGGCTTACTTGGGTCAAGAAATCTTCTGGGGTAACACGCCCTCAGCAGGGGATCAAGTCAAGTTCCATTTTAACACTCCCATTGTCATAGAACAGTAAGTAGTCCTTCATCTAACTGCAACATCATGAAACGCTAAGGTCAATGCCAAGTGTTATGGAATGACATTTCCAGAGATTTATTAATTTTTGAATAAACAATATTATAGATATTTTGTTAAACATTTTACAACAACGTTTTTTTTAAGAATAGCATTGAAGAGAAACTGACAATTTTTCCTGGCAGCCTATAAAAGCCAGTAACATTTCACTCACTGTGTTCTATTATTTTGTTTTTATATTGTCTGATTGTGGTTTTTGGTTCATTCTTAAATTCTGCTTGGTGCAAGACAGTATGACCCTCTTTAATGCATTTCTTTGATTTGATACTACCAATCATCTCTTTCACTACACGTTTACTTGTATATCCTTTAATAATAATGTAATGGCAAAGTGTTTTGAAACACACCACCAAAATGAATATGTGGGACAGGGCTTTAGTTCATATGTCATCACTCTTATCCTCTCATGGTCAAAAAAAAAAAAAAAGTCTTTAGATGACAGCTTCAGAACTCTCATGGATGTTCGTTTACTCGGTGACGTTTTCAATCCAGTTTGCTAATCCTGTTTTGATATACCCGATGACTGATTCAAATTAGTACTTTCCTTCCAAGAAATTGGTAGATTTTCAGTCTCATCAGCGCTTTTGATTAGGCAACTAGATATTGGCGCTATTTAAATTCATGAATTGGAAGTGTAGAATTGCGCTGAAGTACTTACAAAAGTATACTTTCAAAATAAAATATGTACACCAAGTCAGCATTAAATTTGAATTAAAGTTTGGAAATTGAATGTATATCCTCTAGGCGTCTAGCTGCCCTGTCCAAGTTGATACATGTACTTACATGTACCCTCTTCCCCCTAGAAAAAAAAGGGTTGGAAGCAATTTTGTCTTTCATATTTGATATCCTCTATAAAGATTTCATAAATTTTAAGTATGAGACTTTCTATTAAAAGTAAAGTGGATTCCATGTCATACAATCTTGAAGGTTCGTTTTAAAAGACTTTGACCAACACTGTTTACTCTCTAACACTTTGTCTGCTGTTGTCAATGAATGGAACAAGCGATGAGCTGCCACAGTGAACCTTTGTCACAAGAACAATGTGTATGTAAAATATACTCCAAGGACATGGTGGTGTCTAGAATTGCAATCTGTAGCGGCTAAAGAGTTCAACATGGATGATAAATCTTTGATGTCCTATTTCTTTCTTTCAGATACCGGTTTATTAGTAGTAATACTGAGAACCCGGGGGATAAATTTTACAACACCTCGGTAGAAGTGTTACCTAGTTACCATCAGGAGAAGAAAGAAGGCATCCTAGAGGCAGACAATGCAGCGGAGCTTAATCTCAAACGAACAGAAGATGGATTTATCCAAGTTGGTAAGAACTCTTCAGGTTTCTTGTCAGGGTTTAACTGAAAAAGTATAGGAAATAGAGAGAATAAAGGTGTTGTAGTCAAGGGAATAAGTCTCTGGACTGTGAACCTTAAGGTACAGTTTTCACCGTGAAGGCATAGGGCAATTACTAATACAAAGGCTTTCGTTATCCTACCAGGTCCCCATTTCTCTCCTGGGTATGGAGCGGCAAATGTAGATTAATGCCTTGCCAAAGGACCTTAATGCCATGTTGGGATCAAACCCACAACCTTTGCATTTCAAGTCAAGTGCTTAAACTACTTGACTATGACACCAATGTGGCAGTCCAGGGGGTGTTCTACAAAGCCTTTTTTCAATGACAAATGAAAAAAAATCAATGACAAATCTGCTGATAACCAATCTGAAGCAAGGATTTCAGTAGCTTATAACAACAACTTTGTGAACCGAGGCTCAAGTTTCGATCCACGGTGAAAAAAAGAAGTTAATGATCTGATGGATTTAGGGCAAAAGAAATATATCAGTCTGCTTGAGTTCTTTGATCTTTGATCTGTACTAATCACATGCTTGCTTACTTCTGCAATTTCAGGTAAATTTGAAGATGGCCGTGCTATAGGAAATATAGAAAGCAAAATAGGAGCAGTGCAGGAGATAAGATTACGTGTATTATCAGAAGCCAAGAACTGGGTTATATTGTCAGAGGTAAGTCTGCTACAGCATTGTGGTGTGATGGTCTGTGCTTCAGACTTAACAGTAATCATAATAATTAGATCAATTTATATATGGCAGCTACTATATCAATATACTCTACTGCGCTGTGATGAAGAAAAAGGCCCTAACAGTGCTACTTTACAGACACACAATAACAAATTTTAAAAGAAAAACTATTCAGAAGCTCCAGAAACAAGGGCGTCTTCGCCACAACTTTGAAGACAGCAACAGACGAGGCTTTTCTTATGCCTAGTGTTAGGTTATTCCAAAAATTTAGAGTGGCGCAATTTTAGCGCAATCTCCAAGAGTTACTTTTGTTTTTGTGTGAGGTAGCTTTAGAAGCAGTTTGTCATGTTAGTAGTGGTTTCATTCAGGTTTGTCTTAGCTTAACAGTATGGAATCCAGATGCAGTTGGTGAATACCCGTATATTTTAGGATTCATCAACAATAAAATATGGAATTCCAATATAGTTTTAGCTTTGCTTACAATCTCTTTTGTTTCAAGGTTGTGAAGGCTGATCTACTATGCATATAAATTTAATTTGTGCAGGTATTTGATTTTGTTCATTGGATACGATCTGTAATGCTTTGCTCTATCTAACGGAATAATGTTCATTCTATATTGTATGTGCTAGGATCCTAGTAGAATTTACTTTCATACTTCTTTATTCAAGGATTATACCATTCACGTTATATGTATTTGATTTGTAAATTAAGATTGTTTTCTGTCTTTTGCTCCCCCTCCTTTTCTCTCTCTCTCTTTCTCTCTCTCCCTCTCTCTCCTTTGCTTTCACTCTTTTCTTTCTTACTTTCTTTTTGTCTCTTTCTACTTTCTCTCTATCTCTATCTCTATGTCTCTCCCATCTCCTTTTCCCCTTACTCATGCTCTGTCTTTGGTTTTTGTCTCTATTCAGATTTATATTGTTGCCAAGCAGACCAGGTGACGACAGCTTTAACACTTCATGAAATCATCTCCAGCCAAGGATTATTTTAAGAGTATCTAAAACGAACCATACTTTGATATTTATATGTGCTAAGAAGCAGTTTACATTGTGTGTCAGATATTTTTGAAACGTTAGTACCCTCATGTCTATTCAGTGTGTGTTTTTGAAAGAATCGTCAAATGCGATGTTTGTGAAAAACCTCTTTCACACATGATACTTCAAAACCACATAAAAAAGTTACCAAAAGCAAACTAAAAAAACTTATGGAGTATAATTTTCTTCACAGTTCTGTATCTTATAAAACACAGATAGTTGACCTCTCGTTAGGGCCTGTTTTTTTAGTGCATCTACCTGTTTTCACCCCACTTGCCATTTACATTGTATTTACTAGTAAAATAGTTTCATTTTGCTGCAGCCCGTCTTTACAGAGGGTTTACCCTGCCATGTATGAATGGGGCTTTTAGTGGCAGGTTCCCTTCCAATCCTTTTACTTGGACGACTTTTTCCTCTACTTTTTCTCAAATTCTGATATACTTAAGAATGATTATTTTTGACAATTCTTTTCTAATGATGCAATGTATATTATGTTCACGAAAGAAGTATGTAAAGCATTTAAAAATTGCAACATTATTATTGTTTCGATTTTGGTAATGCACCGCTTTGTTTTGTAATAATGTTATATTATACATGATATGTGAAAGTGGAACATATATTTGAACCTTGAACTTTGACCCCTTTAATCCCATGCTGGTACTAACATTAAAACCTGCACTGGGTTATAAGCTCAGAGTAAGACTAATGCAACAAGGGACTTTAATGGAAGTCTTTAAGTTTTACAGAGGTTTTCCCTTTGTTAAACCATGATTTACAAGAATTTTGGGGTTAACTTAATTTACAGCACATGTCTTTGCATGCAGGATAATGAACGACTTCATTGTGACTTACCAGTATGTAAAAACCAGAGTTTATTTCACAACATGAAACGTTGATGACTCTCGACCCACTTGCGAAGTTTGTGAGAGTTTCATTCCTGCTAGGTTATTGTAATTTCCACTGTACTATGTTACTTTCTGAGCCAGACTCTCGTTTGATGATAGAAGTGAGGTCCACTGGGTCAGCTGTCAGTCGGTTGGGGGATGGTCAGTCTGTTGGGGTTGGGGTTGGGGGTGTTCAGTCGGTTGAGCGATGGGGGGGGGGGGGGGGGGGGGGGGGGGTTGAATAAAATGCATCGTATTTATTGGCGATGTCCTCATGAGAACCAAAAGGGCATTAAATTTGTCCTAAAGAATATGAGTTAATGCCCTTCTGGCTCTCAGCAGACGATATATTGTAATTACATATGACTTGAGCCTTTCTACCCCTCCCCGCACCCTCCTTCTCTGTTCATCGCATGGTCCCTTCTTGTGCACCTCCTAAGACAATTACCCCTAGGGTACCACCACCTGGACGAGAAAACCGGATGATCACCCTTAGAACAATTACCCAGTGAGGATGGGGGGAATTATTCAATAGACTATGAGTCTGTAAGACCTAATAAAATCTCCATCGAAGTTATCAAAGTCATCAAGTGCAAGACTCTGTAAGAGTTGTCCAGACAGTATTACCAGTGGTTTATCTTGCTTGTGTGTAGGGTTGCTTTGGGAAAGATATTTTCATTGAGAGCCCAAAGCTAAGGTGTGTTGAATCGGTGTAAAAGTGTAATAGGAGTTAACATCCCTCTTGAATATTAACTCCTATTGTTCTTGTTCTTCCCTATCAAGTTGTCTGCTTGTTGGTGACCCCAGAGAGAAAGATTTTCCTCCCTTTTTCTTTCATGTGATACTCCTTGTAGCTCTTCATGAAATCATTTCTTCCAATCAAAATCAATAAGGTATTTCATATAGCCCTTTTTCCTTTGTATTGCTCTTCTCATATTGCTGTGTGTTTTTCTCAGTCTGCATTACGTCCTCTTATATTCTGCAATCACTGAAGGCCTCGTTGTGCTCTTTGTCATTTTTAATTCTGAAAGATTTGATGTGACGTTAGGAGCACTTTATACTTGGTAGATGATCATCCAAAATACTCTCCATATAATTTTAACTGGTCGTTATTGTCCTGATGGTAATTATAACGAATGTTCAATTGTCCAAGGGATAGAGACCCATGTGGTAACTATCCCAGGGTGGCAGTGGTGATGGTCCTAGATGGCTATTTAACAAAGTGGTTATTGTGCAAGGGAAAAGTTATCCATGTGATAATTCTCAGAGGGATGGTTGTCCATGTGGTAATTGTCCCAGTGAGTAGTGGTGATTTTTCCTGGATAAGGTGGTCATTGTCTAAGGAATTGTTGTCCATGTGGTTATTGTCCCAAGAGTTTATAGTGGTGATTGTCTTACCGGTAGATGGGTTTTAACAAAGTGGTTAATTGTCCCAAATTTAGTGGTTTATGATAATTCTACAAAGTGGAATTGAACCAAGCTGATATGGGTAGTGAATGTCGTCCAAGTATGTGATACTCTGAAGGATCAGGGTTCAGTGTGTGGGTCGTGTCCAGTTCTTCTTCTTCCATACAAAACAGTTGTTTCATGAAGGGGTCTCATTAAAAGTGCCTTTTCCAGTCTTGACTATATTGATGAATCACCTTTTCATCTGTGTAAAAACTAAAGTGAGCATGTACTGTTTTATGATAAATTGGACCAAGTTTGATTTTTACAGAACGTATTTGTTATACCGTAGGATAAAAGGAAGCCATGTTTAGCCATTAGTAAAGTATTCTTATGTGTTGGTTACCCATGTATTTATCAGTATACATATATATATATATATATTTCCAGCTATTACACAGTACAAGATTGATAAATATCTTAACAAACATATCTGATTGTTCATTGTAATGCCTGAATGAAGGAATTTATTGTATTTCTTCATTATTGTATAGACGGTAATATACTGTTAATTCATTGCGCACAAAAATTGGATCCATCATATCATATTTGGTGTTTTTTTGATCCAGTGATGATTTTTCATGCAACAACTTATTGCAGAGTAAAACATAAAATCTCTGTGAGTATTAAATTGGCAACATTTTGTGTAATTGCCCAGTAATTGTTCAGAACTGTTGAGGCCCAAAGATATGGAGATTAGATGGGAATTTGAATTTGTAGAAAAGAAGAGATTATTAAAGTCTCAAATCTACAGTACTTATGTCTTTGTAATTTTGTTATCTTTCATGATACTTGCTAGGATCGTAAGTGAATGATGTGCAATCGTTCCCAAGCTTTCTGCTAGTTCTTTCCTTTCTTCTATGGATACAGACTGTTGTATACAAATTGAATCGTTTGTAGATATTGATGTATGTTTTTGATAGATTTTATGTTGTAGTGGTTTACTCTTTAGCTTGTTTGTTTGTTCATTTATTTTGTTCTGTATTGAATTTAAAATTTAACATGTTTTTGCTGTTTTCTTTCTCTTCACCTCTTTGTCTTTTGTAATTGTTGTTTCACTATGACAAGGTTTAAACAAAGACAATTATTGATCATATAGAGAAATAGAACATGCAGTTTAATTATGTATTTCAGAACGAGGATAGATTTTTTTTCTTCTTCAAGTGTGTTATTTTGAATTGCTATCAAATAGCCCTTCTATCTACCTATACCGGAAATCATTCTTTGTAATGACAAATTCTAGAGTTGATTCTGAAATATATATTAATTTGAGGTACTGAGCCTTGGTATATTTAATATGTATTATGATAGAAATAAATGTCAAAATATTTAAAGCATTATCTACCCAGAATGTGTATCCCTTTATAACAGCATACAAAGTGTAGACCGTCTCAAATTTCTTCCTATCTGATAAACAATGTAGAAATATAACAAAAATCCATATAGTTAGGTTAATATTACTGGTCAGCAGCGTTTGCTCTTTGTAGGAACAAAATTCCTTTAAAGTGCGAAGATAGGGTTGATGTTTATGTGGTTTTATCACTGAGGTGTTGTAAATATAACTCTGTGGTTGTGTGAATATGATGGAGTACAAACTGATAAACTAAAGTATTGCACAAAATAAGTCATGTCCTGCTTTGATTACATTGAATGAAAGTACTTTCTACTTCACTTAAGTTTGTGAAAGAATACAAAACACTGTCATATAAAGAGATAACAGTATCAGGAATCATCAATATTTATATAGTTTAGTCCTTATAATTGAGACAGTGCAGAAATATGTATGAATATTTTCAATCACTTGTTTGTAGAGAAACATACTTGTTCTTATGAATTGATTTGATTTTGATCATGTATTACAAAAAATGTCATGTCATACTATGACTATATATACAACATGTATAGACATATTTTGGTAAAAGAACCAACGAAATACCTACTTAACGACTTCACATGCAAGCATGTTAACAATTAACAGGTTACATCGATATTGCAAGACAAAAACATTAGGTAACTTTTGAATTACTTTGAATAAATGACATACTTTAAAAGCGTGATTTAGTATGAGAGATGGTATCTCAATGAAATGTAATTATTCAAATTAGTAATCATGAAAACCAATTTTGTAATGTATATTATTAATTTAATTAATTGAATTTTACATAAACTAGAATCCAACAAAGAGTGTCAACATTTTCAAATTGTGATTGAAGTGGGTTTTTTTAAGAAAGTTTTTTATTGATTTAATTCTTTCTAATTGAAAAGATACAATACATTTGTCTCTGTTTTGTGTCTTTATTGTATATAAATGTTTGTTTTGTTTGTATCAAAGCCAAATGCTCAATCTATTGTGTGTTTCTGTATGGTCATGTGGCTTCACCAAAAGAAAAAATGATTTCTATCTGTCCAGTAATAAAGAATTGATGAATGTTATAATATGTAATCAAATTGTCTGCTTGTCTTTAATTTCAAACTGTGTTTCTTTTTTCTATATTTATATTCCAACCGATCTTTCAAAATATTCCCATTACAGAAGAAAATGAAACAATGGTGTTTATGATGTATTCCAGGAATAAAAATATTAAGTAAATCAGCAAATGATCTACATTTCTTCCCCATTTTGTTAAATGTGCATGAACTTGTTGACTCCTGAAATCTCTCATTCTCATTGCTCGTCAGATCCAGGAGGGAAAGGGCTAACACCTGTACAGTGGGAGGAAAAAATCTCGATCAAGAATCTAGATTTTCATGTATAAGTTGTAGCCTTATTTTTTTGGGGGAAAAATGACATATCGAATGTTGAATTTTGCATTGAAACAGACTTAATACCCTAGAGTGGACTCTTTGATAGTTCTTTTACTTTTCATAAATGTTAGTAAACTGAAGTCAAAGACAGGGTTCACATAACAAAAAGTTTCAAGCAGAATGATATCACATTTATCTCATTTACAAAATAGGAAATTTAATAAATAATTCTGAATTCACAACTTTTTTCTACCCTTGCTCAACAACATTAAACTATTCACTTAGACTATAAAATAACCCCTCAACATAGTTAGGAAAGTTGGATAGATTGTAGCTCTCGTCATAGCATACTCATCGCATTGATTATTATCATTAGAAATTGTGTTTATTCCTCTTTAAAATGTTACCATATTAAAAAGGAATAAACCAACTGTCAAATGATACTTGATATAGCAATGATTATACCATGACAAGAGCTATAATCAATCATACTTGAGTTTTCAGACTTTTTTAGGGGTTTATAAACTCCCTTAATTCACTTATTCACCATTGATAAACGGATACTTGCAGCACTGTCAATGTGTAGAAAAATACATGTACGCAGTGGGATAATTTGACTCTCTCTCTTGCTCCCCCCCCCCTCTCTCTCTCTCTCCCTGTCTCTCTACTTCTCCCTCTCTCTGTCAACACATCACTCATGCTCCCATACTTTTCTCTTTCCAATCTGTCATTGAGAAAACATTCTAAAATAAGGAATTCATGATAAATCTAAGAACTGTTTGTCAAAAAAGTAAGTGTATTTCTCTTTCACAGATAAATTGTCATTGGTGGTTTATGTTCTACAAGAAGAGAAATATATTTTACCAATTGCTTTACAATTTTTTTTGTTTTAATGTTAAACATCTGCTGTATAAAATCTGTGTATTAAATATTATCTGTTATAATCTGAACTTGAAAAAATATATCTAAATGCTATCAATTATCACATACATGTA